TTCGTTTCTCCGGTGTCGACTCGTCCTCCGGCATCTTCATTACCGAACCCACCATCTTGTAGATCGCCTGAAATCAGGCGACATTTGTAATACAATCAGGCCGGGGAGAGAAGCACGATGAGAGGACTCTCGCTCTCGAGAATTCCAACGTCAATTTCCCGGCATTTTCCTCTATTAAGACTTTTGGCATTAATTAAGCTGCCAGATATAAGCTACCGAAGTAAGCGGTACCGTTCTTTGTGATCGGCGAGAACTCGAGAACTGAGAAAATGGCTGTTGTACATCGGGATATATCTTAGTTTCGCTTGTTCCCCCGCGAACTCGTAAATCAGCTTTTACGACGTACCGTTACGATTTCCAGCATTTCTTGCCGCGAGATGTAACCGTTGCCGTCCAGGTCGTACATGCTGAAGGCCCACTTCAACTTCTGCTCCAACTTGCCGCGGGACGTTACGCTGAGGGCGCAGAGGAATTCCCGGAAATCGATCGTGCCGTCGCCGTTCGCGTCGAACGTCCTGAATACGTGCTCCGCAAACTGTGACGGGCAGAAAGCGTCGTGATAAACTTTAAACAACGCGAAATAATTCCAGCCGCGACACAGCACGCGATATGTAAATCATTTTATCGATCATGGCGGTGCCCATGCTCGTGCTATATTTTTATTAGCTATTCTCTCTCTCTCTCTCTCTCTCTCTTCCCCACTCACCTTCGATGCGTCGCCATAGGGAAAGAAGTTCCCGTATATCTTCTTGAATTCCTCCACGCTGAGGTGCCCGCTGGGACAGTCCTTTAAGAATCCTTTGTACCATTCCTGAATCTCCGCGTCTGCAAGAGAAGGGCAATATGTGGTGAATCAAGATAAATATCTTCGTTCTCTCTCTCTCTCTCTCTCTCTCTCTCTCTCTCTCTCTCTCTCTCTCTCTCTCTTTCTCTCTCTCTCTCGTATTCTGCATCTTATCACACAAACTCATATCACTACGAAATGTTACATCCAGACCCGCCAATGTCACTTGCGTCTATGAAAATAAACCGGGTGAGCTAGCAATCGCCATCAACATCGTCATCGAGCGCTTATCGTTGCGCGGCGGGGCCGTTCGCTCGCGTGTATTATCGCGTGCATGTTAATTCTGTGGTCATAGGACGAAAATGATCGATTGCAAACCCGAGGCGATTGTTATCCCTTGTGCGCGCACGTCCCGCGGACGAGATAAGCACAGAACGGCACGCCGGGGAATCGGAAAACAAATAACCGGCCGGTTATACAAGCGAAGCGCACCTGAGAACTCGGTATTCTGTTTGAGGTCCTCCAGCACTTCCGGCTTCAGCTTGCTGTTTTGCTTGCCCATGGCTGCCTCTCTCTCTCTCTCTCTCTCTCTCTCTCTCTCTCTCTCTCAAGTCCCTTCCAGACTCCCGACTTGCCCGACGAATCCCGGAAGCCAATTAGCGGATAATTAAGCTCTAACTAGTCTACTATTCTAATAGTGCCGTTAAGCACAACACGCTTCGCGGCTGGTATTCTCCACCAGACACGCCTGAAAGAAGAAGAGAGACACGTGCGGTAACTTTTTCAGGACAGGGCGGGGGGGGGGGGGCTTTCGCGATTAAGCTCTTCGGCCCGTGTGATGAAGACGAGACATCACGGCGAATAGGTCCCGATAGATCGTACGTGTCGTTTTTCCCGCTCGATCGCCCCGGGGAATAATTCTCTCACCTGGACCGCGCGCTCGTCAGGAAAGAGAGAGATTAATCGGTTACCCGTCGCGATCACGAGGGAAACACGGCTGCGACAAAAAACACACACACACACACACATACGCACGCACACCGATACGTTTCCTCTAGCCGAGGGGGATCGCGATGCCGACACGAGCGACTGAGAAATGTCAAAGGGTTTTCCGGGGCAAAGAGCGGTGGTGAGAAAGAGCCGCGCGGACCTGAGGTAATGTCCTTCAACAGATTTTATTATCGCGCAACCTTTCGTATCCGGTGTCGCTTAACCCTTTAACGTCTACTGATAATTATAGTTGCCAGAAACGCATTTAAGAATCCATAACTTAGTCAGCAAAAAAGGAGATATTGTCGTTTTCTTTGCACCACTGTAAAGGTGAATTCTTCTTCTAGAAAAAATGGTATATAGATTGTATGTAGATTCGGTTTAGTCTGTATTTAGCTCAGTTTTAATGACATGTTTTGTCGAATTCCAAGTAGGCATAGTTAGCATTGTTACTGGCATCTAGAAGTGCACTGTAAATGAATAGATTGGTATCTGTTATAATTTTATACATTTGGAAGCTTTCTCAGAAATGCAAAATGTGAAATTAAAAGAACATACAGAAATTCAAAATGGCGAATCGAAGATGGTGGACACGAAAGTGAAGAAATCAAGCTGTTTTCGTGAAACCTGGTGATCTACAGTTTTTTATGCGGCGAAAAATGAAGGGACGATTGATCTGAATGGTGATCTATAAGATATTCTTCTGAAATAGTAAGCTTGACGCTCTGGATGATAAACTTCACTCACAAATTATAGTAAAGTTTCAGCACAAAAATGTCAAGCTGACTGTCAGAGTTATGTCGCGTATAGATTACCCTCCATTTTTCTCCGCACAGGTTGCTCATTTCGTATATGCTTTTAGGCTACCCAAGTCATATTTACCAATAAACAAGAAACGAATGATAAAAAAACCAATATCAAATTCTGATATCTTTTTTGTTTGTCACTACTTACAGTCTCAGTTCAAAAAAACTCAAATTTTATTCTTAAAACACTTATAGAAAGGTCGGGCGTTAAAGGGTCAAATATCATAGCCGCGATGAAGGACACTTAACGCGCGCATTCTTCGCCTCCGAGTTGCTCGGGGCGCCGTTTTGTCGGAGAGTACGAGGGCCACTTCCGCGCATCCGGACATCGGTACATCCGGTTACATCCGGAACGGTACGTCGCGTCGATCGCGAGACGCCTCCCGAGACGGACGCTGATTTCACCCCGGACGGCGAAAGGGGTTGTAGCGGGTGGAGAACGAAAGAGACTACACATTTGGATCTCGAGGACGAGGAGATTGAAAGGGTCCGATGGGAAGTAAGAGAAGGAGAGGATGAACACACACATACAACACACACACACACACACACACACACACACACACATACGCACGCACTTATTCTCGCAGTCACACGCATTCACACGTAACTGCAACAGAAAAAAATATTTGCAAGATTAATAACAAGAAGAACAAAGGCGATACGTTCGTGACGAACGACGTCGGGACTTAGCGCTAAAGTAGCGGCGGTTCTTAGACTATTAGATTATAGTAGACTACAGTATATAGACGAGCAGTAATGATAATACATTTGGAGCGTAGTGTGCTTTATTACAATAATATTAGTAATGACGATAATGCGGGTTCCTACGGTTCCTCGCCGTGCGCGTAACCCACATACAAAATATGAGTTTATTTTGATTGCTTAAACGGAATTATTATTATTATTAATTATACCACAATAATAATATATATATATATATGTATATAATATAATAAGTAAATACTATATCTTACTTAAGTGTATATATATATGTGTATGCATGTATATATGTATATGCGTACATACGTACGTGTGTGTGTGTGTGTGTGTGTGTATGTGTGTGTGTACGAGCGATATTTATTCAAGGAGCGAGGTGCATCGAGCGCGACGATGCAATCTCGCGGCCGCTCTCGCTCGCTCATAGTTACATACAAGATAACGGACGACAGCGAGGCGCTCCTCCGCTCGCTTCGTCGTCCTGAACGAGTCTCGAGATCCTAAAGACGGGCTCTCCTCCTCCTCTGTCTACGTCTCCTCGAGGCATTCGGTAGCGAATCACGTCTCGGCGGAGCAGCTGCGGGGAACAGCCCGCGCGACAGGATAACGCTCTCATGACCTGCTCTACGTGCGCTCCACGTGCGCGTAACGCGAGCACACACACACACACACACACACACCAAGTTTCCACGGTACTCAGCCCGCGGCACGACGTTTGTTCCCCTCGTGTGTGTGTGTGTGTCGATGTTTACTGCGCCGCCGCCGCGCACAGCGGGAACAATCGGCGCGACGCGACCAAATCCGCCGTCGCATCGGCGACCGCCGTTTAGCCGCTCTCGCGCAATCGCGCCGGCGATAGAAAGCCCCGGGAGATCCAACCCGCTCAGACGAGTCTGATCTGAGAAATGTGATCACGGCGATTATGTGATCGATGTACCCCCAGTTTCTCCGCTTCTTCCGCGGCTTTCCTTCGGAAGCTTTCCCCTTTCTCTCGCGGAACTCGCGGAACTCGCGCGCACCCCGCCTGCCTTCTTTCCCGTCCACCTCTTTCTTGCCTATCCGAGTCGCGAGAGATTCGCGTTTCCGCTCGGCGAGAGACTTGTTTTCATCGATATGCGCGGGACTTTCTTTCGTGAAACTGAGAGTGTCCGGCTCTCGCGGTCCGCTCACGCGTATCGGCGTGAAGATAATTCCGTCGGCGTAAGCACGATGGAAAGAGTCTCGTTTGTCGCGAGTGCTCCCCTCTCGCGCGCGACACGACGGGTGCTTTTCTCGTTATTGCTGATGTTGTTGTTATTATATTATTATTATTATTATTATTATTATTATTATGCATGAAGGAAACGCGTCTGCCGCGGAATTAGCGATCAACACGCCTGATCTGGCGCGCCTCTGATCTGGGATAGATCTCGAGAAAACAGCTCGACTGGAAATGTAGTTTATAAAAATATATCTTTTTGAAGAATTCATCAGCGTGGATAGGAAATATTTCATCGTCTGGACATTTTCGGTAGGCAATTGGACAGCTGATTTGAGAGACTGACATTGACGGCGAAATCTGGACCGTCCAGCTGAAATCTCCGAGTCCTAGACTTCGCTTACGGCGAACGATCGAATCGCCGGACGAGCGAGTAAGCCGTGTAACAATAATCAATAATCGCGAAACAAGGAGTAATTAATCAGCAGAGAGAACTCACGGATATTGCGCAACGTAGCGTCGTTCATTATCGAACAGGGAGCTAAAAGGATTAATGTTCAGACGGAGAGAGAGAGAGAGAGAGGGGGAGAGGAGAGAATCTCATCTCTCATATCGAGAGCCTACGACATACCGTAATACCGCGTGAATCATTCGTTCGTCCGAAAACAAGCAGACCTGACTCACGTAAATCCGCGGCCTGAATCGCACGAGTCGCGCGAGCGCGAGCGCAATAATAATCGCGGCCGGCTCATTTAACGGTAATTTAATCGCGTCTCTTAATTGGCGGCTCCGCGAAGAGTACGCGCGAACACGCCCGACGCCTAAGTATAAGCGGCGCATTAATTGCGCACAAATTGCGAGACATTCGCGGCCGCGCATCGGAACGAACACGCTCCGATAATCCGGCGCAATCAGTGCGCGCGCGCGCGCTGATTGCGTATTTGTCGAATTTGTCGACAAACAGCTAGTTAACTTAACCGACCACTTGGCCGCGTACGCGCGATCGTTACGGAAAAATGGAAACGAGAAGAGAAAGAGAAGGAAAATAAGAGAGAGAGAGAGAGAGAGAGAGAGAGAGAGAGAGAGAGAGAGAGAGAGAGAGAGAGAGAGAGAGAGAAGAGGAGAAGAGAACATAGAACTTCATCGTTAGCGCATCGTTAGACGAGCATATTTGCTTAAACGTTTCCGCTCGATGTTTTCTTAATTGCGCTGTGTGACGTACACAGAATCGCCAGAGTCGCTTGTGAAAGTCTCTGACGACAGCATGGATGGATGAATGACACAAGTATCGCGGTTTCCGTTTGCGTCAACGCGGCCGCTGTCGCCGACGACGACGACGACGACGACGACGACGACGACGACGACGACGACGACGACCAGCTTTTTGGCGGAGATTTCATTTCAGATACAGCTTGGAGCACCGCGCGCGACAACGCGCGGCTGTATTATCGCGTTTTCCGGGATTTTACTCGGGCAAAAGAGAGCAGCACTCCTCGGCCGCGAGGGGAATACTTTTTCCTCAAATAAGCTGTTCTTCACGAGGCGTTATTACGCTACATCTCGCCGACGGTGATTCCCGAGCACCGTCGCCGCGAGCGGGACGCGTGTCACTCTTGCACTTGATATCTTCATCATGCGATTCGCGTTTTCCCATGGAGCCTCTCTCGCCCAGAAAGTCATTTCCAGCGCGCGCGCGCGGTAACCTGCGCGCCTTTTACTCGTCGTCGCGTCCACGTTCCGACGCGACGACGTTACTCCTCGGACGATGTTCCAACTTATTCCTTTGTGATTCATACATTTGCGGACGCAACGAGTTCGCGTTATATTTTCCGCGGCTCGCGACGGACAGGCGAGGGAGGAGGGAGAAGGGGAAAGAGAGAGAGAGAGAGAGAATGTAACGCGCGCGCAGGATCACGCTCGGGGCTAACGAGCCCGTCCCATCGTTATGCTTCTCGCTCTATCCGCGGCAATTATATTATTTCTACACAGCGGGCTGAAAGATTCTTATTATTTAACGCGACACCATCCGTTTCG